GTCAGAAATGTTTCAGGAAATTGGCTCTTGGATTTCTGGGAAGTCAACAACTTGCCTATCAAAAACATATGCCTCAAACAACTATAAAGACGATTATATTAATGGATATTGTTAGATGATCGATATAAAAATCTAATAGACTATGTAACTGGAAGCAGGAGATGGAGAAGCCAGAACAAGACCAGGAGCAGGTTGTGGTTCTGATGACAAACCGTTGATATCGAACATTGGAGTAAAGCTGAAGACGAGCACTAAAAGAATTGTAGTGCCAGAATATAATGTATATAACATTCCTGATGGATTTAAAGTCCACATAAAAAAACAAATTTTCACTGTTAATTAACTGAGAACAAGAACTGTGGACTGAAACTAGAAATATTTTTAACAAAGAATGAAAAAAGCTGATGTCAGGAGTAAAAACAAAACAAAACAAAATCTAGATAGATGACAGAAGAAGTTGTTAAAAACAGGCAAGAGGCAAAAAAGTAAAAGATGACAAAATCAGGAGTAGAATCTTAAACAATTTTTCAATGACTATTGTGGAGAGATAAAGAGAACTATTACAATGCTCAGTGTAAGAAGATAGAAGAGAAGAACAACAAAAAAAAGAAAACAGATCTCTACAAGAAGATTCAAGAAATAAAAGGAAAATTCACATCTAAACTAGGAATACTGAACAACAGGAAAATATATTATTTAACCAGAAGAAAAATAAAAGGAAGATGGATACAGTATACAAAAAATCTATGCAGAAGAGATAAAAGAATGACTTACTTTTGAAGAAGATTCCTACAAGAAAAAACCTGTAATTCTAGAAACAAGTGAAAGCTGCCTTGAAAGTATTGGAAACAAATAAGTCATCAGGGAAATATGAGATACTGATAGAATTGTTTCAAGCCACAGAAACTGAATTTGTTAATATCCTAATTAACACATATATGTCAACAAACATGAAAAACAAACAAATAATGGCCTACAAGCTGAAAATGTTCAATATACATCCCAATTTTCAAGAAAGGAGATGTCAAAGAGTGTAGTGATTATAGAGTCATTGCTCTAATTTTCTGTACAGGTAAAGTAATGCTCAAGATGATGCAACAAAAACTTCTACCTTATATGGAGCGAGAAATGCTAGAGGTTCAAGCTGGTTTCAGAAAAAGAAGAGGCATTTGAGAACTAATTGCAAACATTTGTTGGATATTGAAGTGCTCCAAATAATTTCATAAGAAAGTAAGTTTATGTTTTATAGACTACAGTAAAGCTTTTCACTGTGTGGATCATGGAAAGCTATGGACTGCTCTGAAAGAAATCGGTGTGCCTCAACACTTGATCATCCTGATTTATAAACTATTGTGGACAGGAAGCCACTGTCAGGACAGAATATGGAGAGACAGAATGATTTTCTATAGGCAAATGTGTAAGGCAAGGGTGCATTTTATCTCCCTTTCTGTTTAATCTGTTTGCAGAACATATACCAAAGCAAACAAACAAACAAAAAAAGCCAAACCACACAAACAAACAAACAAAAACTGGACTAGACTCACAAATAGGAGGAGTGAAAATTGGTAGAAGAAATATCAAAAATTTAAGATATGCAGCTGACACCATTTTACTGGCAGAAAGTAGCAGTGATTTGAAATGACTTCTACTGGAAATGAAATAAGAAAGTGCCAACGCAGCAATGTATTTGAACATCAATAAGACAAAAATCATGACTACAGAATATATAACTTTAATATAGACAGTAAGGATTTAAAATGTCAAAGATTTTGCTCATCTTGGTTCAGAAATCAATTTAAATGGAGACTGCAGCCATGAAATCAAGAGAAAGCTGAGGCGTGGAAGAGCAGCAAAAGAAGAATTAGGAAGATCATCAACAGCAGAGACGTGTCATTCTAGACCAAAGCTAGGATCATCTGTTACAGGAAGCAACACCCGATGGAGAAAATTGGACGCTCAGACAACTTTGTTAGAGGAAGGATCATTTATTGGCTGGCAGAGAACGTGGGGCTTTCAACAGACCCAAAGCACGATCTCCCCTTGGTCTGATTTCTTATAGTTTATATATCTCTGCAGTGCCCATGCAAGGGATGCGTGATTCCTTTGTCTGAAGTTTCACATGTGCCTCATGACTCAGGATGGGAGGGAGGCTATAAGGTCGGGAGTGGGAGGACTTTCCAGACCACTGGTCTTACAGGTCATTTGTTTTGTGACCTTGGTGTTCTCAGCACTGTTACAGAATTCTTGAATAGAGAGATGAGACATTGAGGCTATAAGTAGGAAGCAACACTTATTAATTCCAGTACTTGCTCAGTGGATTCCTATCCAAAGGCTGAGCCTCAATTGTAACATAATAAGCAGTTTTATAGTCTTGTTATTCCTACACAGCTACAGAGATAAGGAAAGACTTTAGTTGGTTGGCAAGCCATGGATCAACAGATGTGAGCTGGAGAGTCCTTGAGGTGGGGGAGGTAGCTATGGGAAAACATATTAGCTGGAGATTCCTGGAAGGGGGAGAGAGGGCAGTTAGGAATAGGCTTTAACTGACTGAGTTGGTCATTTCTGCAAGCCCTTTCCTTTGCATTTTTTAGATGCCTCCTCTCCTCTCTCATATCCATACCCTCATATTCCCAATTACTATGTATGGATGTCAAAATTGGACAGTAAAAAAGACTGACAGGGGGAAAAAAAATGATTCTTTTGAAATATGGGGTAGGACAAGAGCTCTACAGATACTCTGGACTTCCAGAAAGATGGACAACTGGGTGGTAGAGCAAATGAAGTCTAAAACATTGCTGGAGGCAAAATAAACAAAACTGAAGCTTTGAAGTCCTACTTGGACACATCATAAGAAGGCAGAGTTCTTTGTAAAAGACAATAATGCTTGGAAAAATAGAAGGCATCAGGTAGAAAGGAAGACCAAGTATGGGATTGACTCCATAAAAGAATCAATAGGCAGGAGTCTATAGGAACTGAACAAAGAGCTATGGAGGACAAGACATAGTAGACATCACTCACTCATGGGGACATCAATAGTCAATTCAATGGCATGTAACACACACAGTCCCATTTATTTATTATTGATTTAGTTGCTTTTGCTTTTGGTGTCAAATGCAAAAAATCATTGCCAAGATTGATCTCAGATGCTTGTTGCCTATGTTTTCTTCTAGGAGTTTTATGGTTTCTGATCTTGTGTTCAACTTTTTAAAATTATTTTGAGATAATTTTTGTGTATGATGTAAGATAAGTGTCGAGTTTCATTGTTTTACAGTTACCTGCTCGGTTTTCCCAATACCATTTATTTAAGAGATTATCCTTTCGCCTTTGTATATCTCCCCATTCTCAGTGCCTTTGTCAAAAATCAGTTGATCATATCTGCATGGGTTTGTTTCCTGGTTCTCTATTGTGTTTCACTGATCTATATTTCTGTATTTATGCTAATGCCATACTATTTTGATTACTACAGCTTTGTAATATAGTTTGAAATCAGAAAGTGTGATGCCTCTAGCTTTTTTCTTCTTTCTCAAAATTTCTTGGCTTTTCAGTCTTTTGTGTTTCCATACAAATTTTAGATTTCTTTTTTTTTAAATGCCATTGGAATTTTGATAGGGATTGCACTGAATTTATAGATTGCTTTGGGTAGTATAGGATTTTAACAATATTAATTCTTCCAGTCCATGAGCATGGAATATCTTTCCATTTATGTATTCTTTTTAATTTCTTTCACCAGTGTCTTATAGTTTTTAGTATACAATTATTTCACTTCTTTAGTTAATTTTTTTCTTATGTATTTTATTCTTTTCGCTTCAATTGTAAATGGTACTGTTTCCTTGATTTCTCTTTCTGTTGTATAGAAATGTAATTAATCCTTGTATATTCTTACATTCTGAAAATTTTCTGAAGTCATTTATTAGTTGTGTTTGTTTATTTGTATGTTTTGGTAGAGTCTTTAGGGTTTTTTATATGTACCATGTCACCTGCAAATAGAAACAATTTGACTAATTTTTTTTATGATATGGGTGACTTTTATTCATTTTTCCTGCTTAATTGCTCTGGCTAAGACAAATACTGTGTTAAATAAAAGTGGCCAGAGGTAGGCAGTGGAAGGTAGGAGAAATGAATGATGGTGGTCGAAAGATGTAAACTTTCAGTTATAAGATAGATAATTCCTGGGGATGTAATGTACAACATAATGGCTATATTTGATAATCCTATACTGTATATTTGCAAGTTGCTAAGAGAATAAACCTTAAAAGTTATCATACACACAAAAAAAGTATACCTATATGAGGTGATGGATATTAACTAAACTTAATGTGGTAATCATTTTGTAACATATACATATATCAAATCTTTATGTTGTACATCTTAAGCTAATACAGTACCATATCTCAATAAAACTAGGGGAGAAGG